GCTGCCAACAGTGCCGGCAGAATCTGTGGGAGCTCCCATTTAACCGCTCCTGCCACTGCCGTGCCCCTCCAGCCACTGGGGGTATGCATCGTTCATGGTGGGGAACCTCTGCCCTAGGCAACTTTACTCGTTTATTACTTAAGTTTTTGAGCAGTTAGTAAGGATTAAGAACACTTCCAACATGCACAATGACAGCAGGTGTTTTTTTTCACAGATTCACAGAAGTTTAGGGCTTGAAGGGACTTTGTGAGATAATCGGGTGCAGCCCCACCTGTTCTGGGCAGGAAAGACTGCTGTGGTCAAATAACCCCAGCAAGATGTATATCCAGTCTCTTTTTGAAGATCTCCAGGGTAGGTGCCTGCACCACCTCCACTGGGAGTCTATTCCAGAATCTGGTCTCACAAAAAGTGAAGAAGTTTTTCCTTATATCCAGTCTGAAACCTTCTAGGAGTATATGACCAATGCTCCTAGTTTTCCCTTGGGCCGCTTTGGTGAATAGTTGTTCGCCTAGCCCCTGATGCTGTCCCCTGATATTTGTAAGGTGCCACCAAATCCCCCCCAAAGTCTTCTCTTTTCTAGGCTGAACAGTCATATATCTGTCAGCCTTTGCTCGTATGGCTTGCTGTTCAGGCCTCTAATCATACAAGTGACTCTTCTCTGGACTATCTCAAGCTTCTCCACATCCTTCTTGAAGTGTGGCATGCAGAACTAGATGCAGTACTACAGCTGTGACTTCACCAGCGCCGAGTAGAGTGGGAGAATAACTTCCTTAGGTTTGCTTGAGATACATCAGTTGATGCATGCCTGTGTATTATTTGCTCTGCTAACTGTAGCATCAGACTGGTGGCTCATATTCATTTTATGGTCAATTATGACCCCCAGGTCCCTTTGGAAGTGGTCCTAGCTAGCATAGTACCACTGAGCCTGTAAGTTTGTGGTGGATTTTTCCTCCCCAGGTGGAGCACTTAGTGTTGAACAGCATCTGGTTCTGGTCCGCCCATCTAACTAATCTGTCTAGGTCTACCTGGATCGTCAGCCTATCCTGATGCATGGCCGCACTTCCCCAGAGCTTAGTGCCATCGGTGAACTTTGCCAGTGTGCTTTTCACCCCCACATCCAGGTCATTGATGTAGATGTTGAAAAGTACTGGTCCAAGTACCGAACCCTGGGAGACCCCACTGGCTACCTTCCAAGAGGTCGATACAGATCCATCTATAAGTGCTCTCTGGGTCCAATCCCACAGCCAGTTTCCCACCCACCTGACTGTTGAGTTGTTGAGCCCATAGTCCCCTAGTTTTACCTTGAGAGCCTCATGGGACACCAAGTCAAAAGTCTTCCTAAAGTCCAAATAAATGACATTGACCTCATCTCCCTTATCCAGGTGGTGAGTAACCTGGTTGCAGAAGGAGATTAGGTTAATCAGACATGACCTACCAGTGACAAAACCATGCTAGCTGTCATTCAGAATTTTGCCTGCTACTAGCTTATCACATATGGATTCCTTGAGAAATTTTTCAAGGATTTTTCCTAGGATTGAGGTCAGGTTCATCAGCCTGATGTTAAGGATCAGTTCCTTGCATCCTCTCTTTCCCCCCTTCTTGAAGATGGGCACAACACTGGCCCTCTTCCAGTCTTCTGGGACCTCTCCTGAGCACCACGAATTCTCAAAGAGGTTTGCCAGCAGTCCTCCGATGACTTTGGCTAGTTTGTTCAGCACTCTTGGATGGAGTTCATTCAGTCCTGCTGACTTATAGATATCTAGCCTCTCTAACTGCTCTTTTACCAGCTCTCCATTGACTGTTGGTAAGTGATCATCTGCGACTATTCTGTGTCGTATTTGCATTTGGCAGGCTATCACTCTTAGACTGGTGGAATACAGATGCAAAGTACTCGTTCAGGTGTTCAGTTTTCTCCTTGGTGTCAGTGATTAGATGTCCAGATGCATTGAGTGGTGGTCCCACACTTCCACTGGTTTTCCTCCTGTTACCTATGTACCGATAGAAGGGCTTCTTATTGTCCTTGATTTCGGTCACTAACCTGAATTCGGTCGCCACCTTTGCTTTTCTAATCTGCCCACTACAGGTGTGGGCCAATCTTATGTAGTTTTCCTTGGGGCCTATTTCTAGCTTCCATTGTTGATAAGTTTCCCTTTTCTTTTTCAGAAAATCTGTGACTTCCCTATTGAACCAAGATGACCTCCCAGCCCCTGTGCCACCTTTTTGTGTACAGGTACGGACAACATCTGTGCACTGAGGATCGTGCCCTTGAGGAACAACCACTGTTCGTCCACGCTTTCCCTGGGGTCCATGATCCCGTAGGGCATTTCTCACTAAAGCCCTTAGCTTATTTAAGTCAGCTTTTTTCAAGTCAAGAATTTGTACCTTACTGACAGATTTCCCAGCCCTACGACAGACAGTGAAAATGATAGTGTTGTGGTTGCTGTCACCTAGGTTACCCTCTATCATTAGATCACTCACCAAATCGTCCCCCTTTGGCCAAAACTAAATCTAGGAGGGCATTTCCTCTCGTCGGCTCGTATACTTCCTGAGACAGGTAGAGCTCATCAATACAAGTCGGGAATCTATGCGACCAGTCAGATCTGGCTGAGTGTTCTTCCCAGATGTTTGGGTAAAGTCACCCTAGACGACCATATCCTGTGCTCTTGCAGCCTCTTCCGGTTCTCTGGAGAATTCCAGATCTAGCTTCTCATCTTGATTTAGAGGTCTAATATACAGTTAGGTCCCTTTTGCCGTGTGTCAGGGGAGGGGTCGCTTTTCCCCGCACTCTGCACCAGCTCCTTCCCGGGCCAGGGCAGTCGCATGGTTCCAGGCCAGAAGCCCCTGCTGGGGTCTCCGGTTGGGGGGCAGGGCCAGGTGGGCCTTGCTGTTGCAGGAGCCCGCCAAGGATTCCCCTGGGTGCTAGTGCCCCTAGTTCCTGTCATTTTTTATAGGAACCAAGGACAGATAAATTTTAATTTTCAACATTTTTTTACGGGCCCTGTGGGCCAGATAGAATGGCATTGTGGGCCAGATCTGGCTCGCAGGCCGTATTTTGTCCACCCCTGGCCTAGATGCAATACCTGAGGTTACAGGAGAGTACCACCCACTCTGTGGGAGTAGTGGAAGCAGTATCTTTTTTAACAGGAGACGCAACGTTCTCTGAAAAAGACTTGCTCCACTCTAACCATCCTAGGAGCCACCCAAGCCACCTGGGAATTCAGCACCACCTCAGAAGAGAAACTTAGAGTAGTTCATAGAGGAGCAAATTGAAGTTGTAATTTCCATCAACCTTCTCTATCATTTGCATGTGCTCCATATTTTTACTGCATGAACAGGGAGCTCTGTGTTTTCGAATGTTCACTATTTTTCAGTATTTTATGCCACCAGGGTATCCTTTATTTTCAGTTGATAATATCAACTTTATCTGTGCAGATGTACTGACCAGACATGGGGTTTCTGGAGCCAGATAGGCGGCTGCTGTTCCTGAGCAACTCTAAACTTAAGAAGATGAAAGCAGAAGTGTGTCTTCCATGGTGTCTGTTCTAGGATCAGTTTGAAGCCATCAATGGAAGTGTAAAGGAGGCATCACGTTCAGTACAAAGGAATCAGTTCAACAGTAGACTGTTGTGAAAACAAACTGCCAAAGCACTGGAGCCCATGAAAAACTAATGCAGATCTAGATCCTCTACTTCATTGTCGTAATCTCAAGGAGCTTGTCTCTTGGTTAAGTAGATGTGATGTAGAGATATTGTGACAGGGTTCATGGGCTCTGTGTGCCTGAAATTGATAAAATTGGAGTGGGGGGGTTATATGATGGATAGAAAACATTTGACATTAGGTATCTATCTAATTCCTGTGGCAAGCGTATCACTGCTAATTCAAGGTTGAGAATATTAGTATGTTAGAAGAATTTTCTATGATGTTTCTCCTACAACATCATCTAGCTTCTACAGCTGAACAGTAAAATTTACTGCCACAAAATTCTCAGCCCTCCAGTGTTCCCATTTTCTCTTGTAGAGGATAGAGACCCTGTTGGTATGACAAGGTCTCTTCGTTATTGTCCAAGTTAAATAGGTTAAACATCACTAAGTTTCTGGAAGATTGAGATAGTATGTGAGGTGAGTTGTCACTGACTCATGTCTGACTTGCCTGGTTCCTGCTTTTTGTGGGGGCAGAGTGCTGTCTTGGGCCTGAAACCCCCCCCCAAAAAAAATTACTCCTATGGATAATATCAACTTAATTTTGCTTGCTGAGGAAGACTTTATCTATTGCCTTGCTAAGTAACAGCTAAACTGTGTTTATGAATTTAAAAAGCCATTGTTCTTACCTTATTGTCTTTATTATGTTTGACAACATTTTGCAGAGTCCAGGTTGTTGCTTCCTGGTGTCTTTCATTTGGTTGACAGGGTAGAAACACTCAAAATGGGACATTGAAACTTTGATGTGACAACGATCAGCAGGGGCAAGTAGAGCCCCTGAATTCTCTCAACTTCTTATGTAGAAAAGAACAGCAGAATCTTGATAGATCAGTCACAGATGGACACTTCCACTACCCTGAGTAAGACTGCCTGAAGGCCTATGAGGAACAGTCTGCTTTTAAATGTCCCAAGCAATGTGGCTTCCAGACCTTGCCCAGCTGATTCTCAATTTATCAAATTGTTTTTGTGCTGGAATGCAGCTTCTTAGTTTTTGAGAAACAGGTCATTTGTAATTCTCCCATCTAGCAAACAAGTGAACTAGAAAGACCAGAACTACTTTTCACCATGACATAGAAGGTTTCTAGACAAGGGAGTAATTTAGCAGCATCAAACGCAGCTCTGAGGATTTCCTGCTAAACATATATATGGAACACACACCTGAAAATGGCCTTCTGGGCCATCAAATTCATTTCCCTGAGTTTCCATGAAATTGTTTACCTAAGAAATCTCCAGATCACCATTTCAAATGTGTGTAATGGCAAGGGACAATAACTAACATCAATAATGCCCCATCGCATACACAGGTAAAACAGAGGAGCCCTGCCACTGCATGGTGGGGGAGCCCCTCATCCTAAATTTGCATGGGGGTGGGGACAGGTAGCTTCTGCTGCTCAGCAGCCTCCTGTTTATCATTTGTCTTTTTCTGTCCCCCACCCCTCCTTACCATCAGGGGCAGCTTTGCTCTGGCTTAGGCTGGGGTCCTTCCTGGGCACAGAGCAAATGGAAACTCTCCTGCCCAGCCAATCAGCAGTGCCATCACTGCTGAATTGCTGGACAGGGGCTGACAAGGTTCCTTGGGTGAATTCGATATCTTTTATTAGACCAGCCCAAATAGTTGGAGAAGTTATTAAGCAAGCTTTTGGGTTCAAAAACCCTTCGTCGGGCTAAGGAAGTTTCAGCAGTTGGTGTGTGCTCTTCCTGGATGGAATGAAAAGTAAACAAGCCAGGGGCTGGGCTGGGGAGTCAACACGGGTACAATCTAAACCCCTGGACAGGGGCTTCAAGTGGCCAGCTGTTTTCCGCCCCCCTGCAATCTGACCTATGCCCCAGCCACAATTTTCCCTACTATAGCAGTTGGCGGGGGGAAGGCTTATTTTTTAAGACACCCGCAGCCCCAGAATGAGCCACCTGTGGCTCTGTGCCACTGCTGGTGGGGTCACAAACCTACTGGCCAGAGGCTGCTCTCCAAGTTGCCAGGTTTCACTCCTGTAAATTGTTTCATTTGTATCCGCCAATATGGCTGGTTAATAGTCGGCCATTGGTATCAGCCAAGAAAATATTTATCAGTGCACCCCTAGTAATTATCTGGATCATTCTTCCTCCTTTTTAAGAATATAGCCATCCCATCGCATTTACTATTTTTCTAGTTATTAGCTAATATCACTAAATTGAAAGAATCGGTGAAGATTCAAGCTAAGAGTTGGTGTTTTGTGTGCTGAGTCCTTGAGTAATCTAGGTTAGGGATTATCTAGGTCTCCCAATTTTGTGACGCATGCATGGGCAGCTCCAGGATCACAGTGGATGGAGGGGGGAGGGAGTGCAGCCACACCTACCTTGGCTGTGTGGTGCATTCACAGCAAAGAGCTCAATGAGTGTGTGACAGACCACAAAGGGGGTTTAGCCACACCCTCTCACCATGACCCCGAATGCCAGTGAGCAATCTCTTCTGTATGCTCTGTGAGCGCTTAACTCCCCAACTGGTGACCCTGAGGAGTCCCTGCTTTCACAGTCCATACCACTACTGCCATCCATTCCCACTTTTCCTCTGCCACCGAATTCAGAGAAGGAAGACTGACCAGCAGTTGCACTCACCCCAGGCTGAGCTCTGGAGTTATGTGAAAACAGGCTTCAACCAGACTCCATGCTGACAAGCTGGTAACACCTCCAGTTCCACCTCCCACCCAGATATTTTCCCTGGACACGTGCAATCTGTTTTGCTTTCTCCTCAGGTATGGAAGAGAATCAACAGGAGCCATTGTACATGACAAGAATAGTTCCACTTCCTGGGGCTTGAGGGGACAGGGCAGGGGAATGTCTTTGAAAAGGTAAAACTAAGGACATGTTAAACTTGTTGCATTTAAAATTAAAGCCTAAGTGTTGATTGGCTGAGGGCTGGACAGGTGCCCCAAGTCTTACTGCAAAATAGCCCGTTAAGTGGCAATTCAGGCTTTTCCGAGTACAGCCGCTTAGCTCTGTTTCTGTTTTAACGTGTTTGCTTTGTTTATTTTGCTAATCACATTCTTTGAGACTAGTGGTGTTGGATGTTAACTAGTAGGCCTGTGGATTATTGCTCTCTGCAGTCCCTGACTGACCATAAAATGATCATGTAGTTGGAATCTGAGGAATTTTATGCCCAGTCCCCAAAATTGCATGTCCTGCCTTGCCTGATGTGAATGGTAGGACGTACAGTTTTGGGAATCGGATGTAACATTTCTCAGAGCCCAATTTAATGACTTCTGATGCAGGGAGCCCAGCATGGGAGACCCATCCCCCATGACTGGGACTATTTAACATGTTAAATGTGCCATAAATACAACATCTGCCAGGGCCCTGTCACAAACTGGTGACCAAAGCTATAGAAGTGGGAATTGGCAACTCTCTCCATACAGGTTTATACATATGCAAATGGACATGCTCTCTCAAGTTGAGCAGAGAAGGCCAAAAACACTTGAGCTGCATGAGCTCTAATTTCTACGTGTACCTCATAACCAGCATCCCTTACCACTTTATGAGGATACGTCTTCATGGAGCTATGATGATCTTGTTCCATGATTGCAGACTCTAGACAGTGCAGAGTGTCATTTGGGTGGAGAGACTCACTATCTGCCTGTGCTGTCACTCCCACGCCCATGCCTGTGTTCCTCGTTAAATTGAGAGTGATGATGCTGAGCTCTCCCCTGGTTAGGTGAAAGTAAGTTAAGATGCTTGCATAAATGTACTACCATCCATACACATTATTATTCAGAAGTGATGGCGAGATACCAGCTATAGATAACATAGATATATGGAGCATCAAGGCAGCATTCTGTCACTATCATGATAATTCACTAGGCCACCAACAGAAATTTGAGCCAGAGCTTCCTTGGCAGAGCAGATGTGGAGAAATCTGAAATGGGGCTGTATCCACGAACATGGCCTTTCACCTCATCTCAGAAAGAAAAGGCCTTGATTTTAACTAGTATTTTGTGGGCTCATCTACAGGAGACATGTTACTGTTGCCATAGAGCTAATTACTGTACAGTAAGCATCTGCATCTGAATATGCAGATGCTTACTGTGCAATAATTGGTTTTAATTGCGAGTAAATTTGCTACCTGCAAATGCAAGCAGCAAATTTACTTGAGATTACTCATTGTGCAGTAGTGCACGTGTAGACGCCTGACCCTCTCAGTTAACTGGGCAGCAGGGGCACAGGAAATTGCTACCTGCCCATGGGAGCAGCCTGCTGCCAGGGCAGGCTCTGCCACCAGAGCCTGGGTGGGGACAATGTCCCCCTGCCCTGGCAGCAGGGATCTCCCAGCCTTCACTCCACAATCATGGGGCCAGAGCTGGGAGACCCTTATCTTCCAGCTGGAGATCAGGGGGCTGGGACTTGGAGAGTGTTATCTCTCAGCTCCAGTCCCCTGGTCATCAATGCCAGCCCCACAACCGTGCAGCTGATGCTTGGAGAAAAGGATCTCTCAGCCCAGGCCCCATCACTGGGGCTCAGGCTGGGAGATAAGGATCACCAACCCCCAGCTTTGTGATCACAGAGCTGCCCCTGGGACATAAGGACCTCCTGGCCCCCCAACCATGGAGCTGCTGCTGGGAGATAAGGATCTCCCAACCCCGGTCCTTGTGAGTGTGGAGCTGGTTCTGGGAGATAAGGATCTCTCACTCTGGGCCCGGCAATCACAGAGCGGGGGCTGGGAGCTCCCTGCTGCCTGGCCAGGGAGACATTGTCCCCATCCAGGCTCTGGTGGCTGAGCCTGCCCAGGCAGCAGGCAGGAAACAACTGTCTCCTGGCCCCTGAGCTAGCACCTATGGCAGGGGGGGGCAAAATGTGGCCCGGGGGATGGATGCAGGCCACCAGGCCGTTCTATCTGGCCCGCAGAGCCCCTAAAAAATTTAGAAAATTAATATTTATGTGCCCTGGGCTGCCTGTCATGCAGCCCTTGATGGTTTGCCAAAACTCAGTAAGTGGCTCCCTGCCCAAAATAATTGCCCACCCCTGACCTAGGGGGATCCTAGAGCTCCCCCTGGCTACTGCAGGTGCCCATTGCAAGGCCGCAGGGAGTGGGAGAAGTCTGTTGCTAGGAGTAGCAAATCTGCTCCTGCGTTCCCTGCATGTGTGGATGCATGTCCAGGAAGAGTAAACTGCTCCCAGATTATTAGCATATGTAGATGTACCCTGTGTGACAAAAACATTACCTTGTCAAATCCAGACTCCAGAGCCTTTCAAAAGTTAAGGTGCAAAGCATATGCTGTTGCATGAGCTGAGCTGCAAACCAGTTCAACTATTCCAACAGGTATGGAAGCCATACAATCCCAAGCTGACTGTCACAACTTATTATTCAACCAGTCAGTGTGGTAGAGGAGATATCTTTTATTAGAGCAACTAGACAGTTGCAAAAAAAATTCTTTATTTGCAAGCTTTCGGACACGCATGCCCTTCCTCAGGCATAGGAGAATGCAGATTGTAAAGCTTCTCCCAGATAGAAATGAAAATTCATATTGTACAAGAGAGCTTGAGTGTGATGTAAGTTTTCCTTGCTGGAAAAGTTCATTTTATGCAAATTAAGCTTAGGTAAAAGTTGGAGTTTATTATTATTATTATTAACATGTATATTTAAACTGTTCAGAGCACCAGTCCTCCTTATTGCAGTGGTCATGGTCTGACCACCAGCATTCAGTTCAGGTAGCAAGCATTCCATTTGTGTTATCTTTGCTCTGAGATACTTGTACCAGATGTAAAAAGCACAATTCATCCCAAACTCAGGTTGGACCTGAAGCAAATACCTGTAGAGGCAGAGGGTGAGCCAAGATAGAGCTAGAAGCATTGTCCAGCCCATTATCAATAATGCAAAACAGATAAAGGATATGGCTTAGAATGCTAAAAAGACTTGAACGTTGCTATGTACCAGCTACCTTTCCGGTGTTTTGCCAGCTAGTGGAATCCACAGTCTTGAGTTAGGTGCCCAGCTGCTCTGTTCAGTGTGGGGCGATAGTGAGGTACCTTAAAATAAGGATCCATAAACAGCCAGCATACAGAGAAGGAAGTATTTTGAGGCAGCCAACAGAAAGCATAGAGAAGAGGGCATATCTCAAGTGCTGCCTTTGGCCTTTAGGTGGCTTTCTCTGATCAGTATTTATCATCCTGGAGCATGGGTGGATCCAGAATTTTGGAACGGAGGGTACAAGAGCAGCGATCGCTGCAGGAGTGGCTGCACCCTGACTCCCAGCCTCCCTCACCCACATCATGGCAGGCAGACTGCACTGCAGGAGTGGAGGACTTCTTTTTAAATTCATCAAGCAGGCAAGAAACTCCCCCCCCCCCCCCGCGGGGGGTTTTTTTTTAAAAACCTCAAGCGGGGAAGAAACCCCCCCCCCCCTCCGGCTTCCTTTCTGTGCTCAGCAGCATGGTCCCTCCTATCCTTTTCCCACCCCACTTCCCCACTTGCTACTGCCCCTGTCCCCAGCTGACCCAGAGACAGAGCGGGAAGCTCCCGGAGACACTCCTGTCCTGCTCCAGCCTAGCTGCACGTAGAGCTGGGTTCAGCCAGGGATAGCAGTAACAGAAGGCAGGTTCTCTTCTCCTGTTCCTGCTCCCCACACTGGCAGGGAGG